AAAATGCAGTCATGTCTTACTTGTGTTTGTTGGTTTTCTTCTATGTTTTTAAATATTGATTTTTTTGTCCTACCAATGCTCTTTTAAAGCATAGACTGGACTAGTCTCAGATTTAAAACCACAACTCTAAAAGACCATTCAGTATTACCCAAAAATCTTACTATGCTTCCCAAGTAAATCAATTTTGCTACTTTCTAAGGAGTCTGTCTTAAATTTGTCTTCTTCTTCCCTATGGCAGTCTTGCCTCATACAGGGGAAACATACACAATCAGACTAGAACTACCTCATGTTTCCATCATCAGTTTGAACAGTCTGCCTGCATCAGTACTCACATACTTTTTGGTAGATTTTTACTGAGCATCTTCTGTGTGCCACGCACTGTTTTAGGAACATGAGACACCCTCATGGAGCTTAATTCTAGCTCTAATGGAGTTGGTAGACAGATGGTAAACAATAAACATAATAAGTACAATATAGACTATGTTAGGAGCTGGAAAAGTAGAACAGGGTGAGGAAGTAAGAGTGTCTGGGCAGGAAGGCATGCAAGGCCTTATTGAGAAGGTAATATTTGAGCAAGGACTTAAAAGAAATGGGAAAATGAGAAAGTTAGTCTTGCAGGTATCTTGGGAAAAAATGTTTAAGTAAACAGTGCGTTTGGTGCAAAGGCCCTAAGTCAGAAGTATGGTATGTTAGAAGAATAGCAAGGAGCCACAGTTGCTAAAGGAAAGAGAAGCAGGAGTTGAAGTCAGAGGGCTCAGTGGGGAGAGGGATTACATTGGGCCCAGGAAACCACTGTGAAGACAGTGCTTTTACCCTGTGTGAAATAGGGAGCCATTGGAAGGCTTTGAGCAAAAGTGTTTCATATCTCACTTAAGTTTTAAAAGAATCATTCTGAGTGCTATGATGGGGTGGGAGTGAAGGGGAGCAAGGGAGAGTAAAAGCAGGGAGAGTTTTGGAGGCTATTGCAGTCATCCTGGTGAGAGCTGAAGGTAATCTGACCATGGCGGTAGCAGCACACATGGTGAGGGGTAGTCAGGTTCTAGATATATTTTGAAGACAGAACTGACAGTACTTTTGGACAGACTGGACATGGGATGTGAGAGGGTCAAGGATAACACCATGGCTTGGACGACTAAAAAGATGAAGTAAACTTCAGCTGAGCTGGAGGAGGAACATGCCCTACAGGGTAGAGCAGATTTGGTAAGAGAAGAACAGACATCCAAATGGAGATTTCTATTATGTAACTGAATGTACAGTTACAAGTCCATTAAGTCACGAGACTGAATGAGATTACCTAAGGGTGAGTTTAGATAGAGAAGACAACCATGGACTCAACTCCAGGGTGCCAAAGTTAAACTGTTCTAGGAGAGTAGAAGGAACCAGCAAAGGTAACAGATAAAGATCAAGAAATGAGTTAGGAAGAAAACCAGAAGACAGGGGTGTCCTAGGAGCCAAGCAAAGAATGTACCTAAGGAAGAGGATATGGTCAGCTGTTTCAGGTGCTGTGAAAAGTGTCAAGGAAGACAAGAATTGAGAATTGATCATAGATTTAGCAACATCGAGATACAAAACCAGGTTAAGTGATAGAGGCAACAGCCTAACTTGAGTTTTAGAGAGAATGGGATTTTGTGTATTTCTTATTTAACAAATACTTATGTGACAAAGAGAGCGTAACTTGCCCATGGTCAGACAGCTGGTAAAAGTGGTGGCAGATTTCAGACACAGCCATTCTGCCTTCACTGTACAAGCTTTAACCACAGCGCACTGCTGCTTCTGTGTGACTGGGTAAGGCTAGTATTTTGAGGAGTTTTGCTGCAGAGAAAAGGAAGAGAATGAAATCAAGAGAAGTTTTTGTTTTTCCTTTCAAATAGGAGAATAAGAGAATGATTCATTAGAGACAAAACACTAGTGAAGGAATACAGCAGGGAGAATGTTTGACAATGCCCTTGAGTGAGCAAGAGGATATGGGATGGAACGCTGAAGTGGAGGGAGGGTTGGTGTTAGGTAGGAACATGGATGTGTCATCCAGTGATAAGCAGGAAAGTACCTCATATGCCTTCCCTTTTATTACAGTAGAAGTGTCCCTTTTCTTTCAAAAGCTACCCATTTCATTCGTCCTGGATCCCATTCCTTCTCATATTTTCAAAGATGTGTGTATTTCCTGTGTACAGGTTGAGTATCCATTAACTGAAATGCTTCAAGTGTTTTGCCTTTGGATTTTTTTGAGATTCTAGAATATTTGCATATACACAGTGAAATATCTTAGGAATGAAACCCCAGTCTAAACATGAAATTTATTTGTGTTTCATATGCAACTTCCACACATAGCCTGAAGGTGATTTTATGTAATATTTTAAATAACTTTGTGCACAAAACCAAGTTTTTACTGTGTTTTGACTATGACTCATTACAGGAAGTCAGATGTTGAATTCTCCACTTGTCACGTTGGCATTCAAAAAGTTTTGGATTTTGAAGCATTTTAGATTTGGGGGTTTGGGGATTAGGGATACTCATCCTGTCATATATTACCCTGGAAATATGTCTTAATATTATCCATCTTAAAAAAGATACACACCCTCTCTTACGTCCTACCTCCATCTCTACTTTTTCATCCCCTATTCTCTCTCAATCTATCTGGTTGATTTTTCTCTATCACTGAAGTGAGGCTTATAACGTTTTTAGTTGACCTACTTCTTGGCAGTGGTCTGAGGGTTGTCTAAACCCCTTAGATGAATTTTTCCAGTCTTAGGGATTTACGTAGCTTTTATAGGTTGATGACTCGAAGGTATATACCCCTAGTCCAGACATACCCATATAGCTCCCATCCCAGGTGCATATATCCAGTTCTGTCTCTGCACACATATCTCTGGACTCACCCTGGATACATGTTTAATAGGTATCAGGTTTCACATGGACAAAACAAAATTGTGTTGCTTCTGCACTCTCACCCCCACCCTAAGGTTTTCCCATCTTATAATGTGGCATTGTCATCTGTTCCTGCCCAGATCAGAAATCTAGGACTCTTCTATATTTCTCTTTTCACATCTCACATCCCAATCATCTTTTAAGTTTTGTCAACTCTGCCTCCAAAAGATATTCCAAATCTACTTGACTACTATCTCCACTGATGCAACCATAGTACACTCACTCTTACCCAGATGACTACAGAACTTCTTAACTGGCTTCCCTGGTGCTCTTGTTGCTGAACAAGAAGTGCATCCTCCATACAGTTGCCACCAAGGGCTTCCCATTATAACCATGATAAAATTCAAATGCTTGATCACACCCTGCAAGGCCCTATGTGACCTGGACCCTGCACATCTCTCTGCCCTTCTTTTCAACTATCTCTCCCTTGTTTACAGGGTGCTTCTGCCATGCTAGCCTTCTTTTGGCCTCTTGAACATGTTAGGCTTGTTCCACACATGTTGCCTTCCCAGGGATTGTGCATGTATGTGCTGTTCTTCCCTTTGGATATTCTTCTTACTCCTCCTTTGCCTACTGGCCTTGTTCCCATCACTGTTGTTTCAGTTCACATGTCAGTCTCCTCTTGGCATTATATTTACCTGAAACTACCTTACTCTTGTCTGTGTTTATTGTCTGTCCTCATTAGAATGTCAACTCATGGAGATTAAATAGTTCATTTTATTTGATGCCAACCCCTCCCAGCAATTGCCACAAGTGGGCACCAACTGACTGATGAATATAGCATATAAAATGTGAAGTCGGTTTGTATGAATTTGTTTACTGTGTTTTTAAGATTAAAATTCTTTGTGCCTTTTAGACCTACCATTGTACACAGATTCTTAATTAAAGCAACAATAGAAGAAAGAATGCAGGCAATGCTGAAAACTGCTGAGAGGAGGTAGGTAATAATTTACAACAAGCAGAAGGGGGAAGGTTTTCCTGGTAAAAGTTTGTGTGTACCTTTGGAACTTCTTCACTTAGATGATGACAAAAAATATAACACAAATACTTTTTAAAAGCAAGGTCTGACATTTTGTCTTTTCAATGTTTCCCAGTCGGTGTTCCAGACATTCTATATTTGAATTAATTGGTTAATTGTAACATGTAAACATAAACTATCCTACATTTCTTTGCCACATTGGATCACTTTTTAAATGAAATATATCTTTATGCCTGACACAAGCCTTAGTCTGATATGTATAAACTAAACTTGTATTGCTGCTTTCTACATCACACTTGTTAGTCATGTGTTGATAGAAATAATCTGGACTTTAAAATTTGGTAGGCCACACGTGGTGGCTCACTTTGGGTCTCCAGGGCGGGTGGATAACCTCAGGTTGGGAGTTTGAGACCAGCCTGGCCAACATGGCGAAACCCCATCTCTACTAAAAACATGAAAATTAGCCAGTCTTGGTGGCATGTGCCCATAGTCCCAGCTTCTCAGGAGGCTGAGGCAGGAGAATCTCTTGAACCCAGGGGGAAGGGGGCAGAGGTTGCAGTGAGCCAAGATCATACCACTGCACTCCAGCCTGAGCAACAGAACGAGACTCGTCCGAAAAAAAAAAAACTTGTTAATTGTGGTGTCAATCCAAAGACAGAACAAAAGCAGAGAGACCAAACCAGTCTTAATTTTAAAAGTTTGTCTTTAGAATCATAGAACTTTCTAATATTTATGCTATAATTTGTTAGTCTTTTTGAAAACATAAATCTTTCTACATCTTTAGGAGGTAAGTAGGATTGGAATGTACCCAAGGAAGAGATTATTACCTTAGAAGGGATTGTCCCATAGCAAAGGAGCAATTTGACACCAGAAATTTTCTTCCAGTGATGGTTTATGGTAAGGAAAGAGGCTTTCACAAGAGCCTTTTTACTTAAAACGTGAAGCTTTTTAGAGTTCTTATATCCTTGTGTATCGGACTTCTGTGATTTTTATTTAGGCTGTTGTAATAAAATAGCAGTTATAAGAATTGTTTGAAATTCCCTTGAAACAAATTAACTTTAGGTGTAGGAAGGTACTTTGTAAGGTGAGAGCATAGTAGCAGTTGTCAGGGGTTTTATTCTTTGCAGAGAAGAAACATTTTGACAAACCCTAAAAGTAATATATAGAAGTCTTCACTGGTTTTGACAAGGTATAGTAATGATTTTATCACTTGCTTTCCTCTGGGAGTTTCTTATAGCCCAATTATAAAAACTTAAGAAAAAATATGGGTCTAGTTGTTATTATTACAAATATAATTGCTGATTCCTTGGGGTTTCTTTCTGACTGTGCTCGTTTGGAAAACCTTGCAGTCACACAAATTCATCAGTGAAGCATTCAGAGGCCTCCGTCTTGACCGTGGCTGACCTAGCAGACCTATTTACCAAAGAAACTGAAGAGCTTGAATGAACTACACTTTATTCATTCCATCGACTTTAATGTATTAATAAACTTTCATAGCTGTAGAGCAAAGTTACAAGGTTAAAAACCAAGTAGTTATCAGCTAACACTGTTCCTAGATGAAAGCATTTGTTTCTTGTTCTGGTTATTCAGTGGCCTGGTACTTCTTAGGCCCTTTTCAGTATTCTGTTTTCAAAAGCTCTATAAAGATTTTTAATTTTCCACTCTTAATAAAACATTTATTTTGTGGTCCCAAATAATATCTGTATCTGATGATACAAGGGAATTAAGAGAGGTAATGGGTACTTTTCTTACAGTAACATCAGTCATAAAAAGAGTTGGAGTAAGAAAGTAAACTAGTCTAGCTTTATATGACCTGGTATTTCAACCAACATAGATCTCAGTTTTGGAAGGGCCTTCAGTATCTTTAGCACATGATTCACAAATATCTTGTTAGTAATGTTTTAAGTAGATGGTGAATTAACTTGTCGTTTTGAGTAGGTTTATACCATAACTTCATACCTAGTAATTCTGCAGTAATACAACTCCTTACAATAAGTTAATGTTAGACAGTTATTTCTTTCCTCTGCATCTTGCTACTAAAAATGAAAACACTGAAAATATTCATTTTTCTATTATGTGTAAAGTGGTGTCTGTGTAAACAGTTAACTCCAAATAGATTTTTAAAATGTATTAATGTTTACCTTAAAATTTTCTGTTTTCTCTACTCTTAATTTTTCTCACTATTAAGGTTTTTTTTATGTTATAAGATTGATGTATCTGTAAATATTGCAGTTTTATGACTTCATCTTATCATTATAACATGGAAATGTAGCACACTTTGTTTTGAATCATTATTATACGGATGTCTTGAATTCTTTCCCATGTTCTTCTGTAACTAGACTTTTTAGCCACTGATATCTGAATTCATGGTACAGTTGCCATTTTATTCCAGTTGTTCCTCCCTTAAGCACGAGTCTTTGACCTTTTGAACAACAGAATGCCATGTTCACATAAGCGAATTGTTGCAGGTGATAATAACCAAGTGTTTCTTCTTCTGTGAAGAATTAATGGACTTCGAAATTGCTGAATAAGGAGTAGCTTGCTTAATCCTAGCCATTTGATGTAATATAAATGTTCTTGTTTGGCTTCCTTTTCTTTGAGCCTTCAGAGTTTTAAAGGGCCCTCTTTGACCCTCAGGACTTTCTAGATCCTACTTAGCTGCCTGGAGAACTCATAGAACCATTCCCTGGATCCCATTTGTCTGAGAGGCTTTGGTGCTCAGTTAAGGTGCATTTTCTTACTCTAGGTTTATAGAGTGACATAATTCAGCTGAAGAAAACACACACACACTTTTGGTGCTTATTCTTCAGTTAAAAGGAGGTATGCATTGATTCTTTTATATGAAATTAAATCAAACTGTTATTTTTATAGCTCTTCACATACTAAAAAGAGCTTTCCTATACATTTACATGTTTAATTTGCCCAACAGTCTTGTGAAGTTGTTATAATGAATATCATTCCTGTTTTCAAGGTATAGAGAACTGAAGTTCAGAAACTTTCTTAGGACATGTAGCAAGTAAACAGTGGAGCCCAGGTCCCCTGACTCCGTATCTTACATTCTTTTACTAATAACATGTCATGCTGCGATTCAGAAGGCCCATGCTTATAATTTAATAATGAGACTCTTCCAGTATTTGTGTTTGTTTTCTAGTATTCCTTTCTGAGCTATGTTTTAGAGAAAACAATTTGATATGCTTCAATTTTGTAAAAATAAATAAATAATTACATATATATAAAATGATCTATTAGACAAAAACTGTTCTTATTTATTTCTGTAAGATATCAATTAAATAAATATTTTAGTGGAAAGTAAAATTGTGGAATTCCTTGATTTCTGAGCCGTAGAACATATGGGGTTTTTTGGTGTTTTTCTTTCTACAAAAGATGTCAAAATGGCTGATACTATAGAATCTCTTAATGTGTATACATTTGTTATATCTTCAAAACAATTGTGACAGTTCCCAATTGTCCAAAACAAATACAAATCTGATTTTCACATTTTCTTGACTGCAAACAAAGGATTTTTAACGTTTTCTTCCTCTATTATATTTTAAAGCCTCTAAAATATTACTATGCTTATAAGTAGTTCTTAAATGGATGGTATGCTAATGAACCAGTGAGAAAAAATGAAATAGCCACAATTGTTAGAGTAGCCCCAACCATTAAACTTAAATGTGTTTGGACCTGGAGAATCATTTTCTGTTACATGATGAGATTACTAGAACTAAAAAATACATAGAAGGTAAAGTGCATATACTTCATAGCCTTTTGCTTCAAACCCAGATAGCTCAGTGTTTATTGCAGCTTCAGCTTTTCTCTTTGTATGTGACCTGAGCTGAATAAGCCATACATTCAGTTTTAGGAATTGGCATCTTTCATATCACATGAACAACAAACTAAAAATCTTAACATGATAATTCAACATGTAACTACTAATACTTTACAAATAACGATCAAACCAACTACTTATCTAAATATTTAGGAACTAATTTTAACAACGCAAGATTAGTCACCAACTCAAGCTATCCTTTCAGGTGGACAAAGTAAGAATTCATGTCTTTTCAGTCTCTTATTTAGTAGCTCTCCCAGTGTGCTTAAGTTATTTATGTTCATTAAACAACAAGATAACCTTTCAGAAATGCAAAGATCACCTGTGCTGCATAACCTCAGGCTTACGTAAGTCGAATAAAAGGTATCTTTCCATTTTTATAGAATTTAGCTAAACAAAATCCCAAAATGTGCCTTTTCATAATTTTTAACTGGCATACAAATACAAAAATGGAATATAAAACAAATGAATTAAAACCAATTAAATGAATTCAAAACCAGTGCAAAAACAAAAACAGCAAATTAATTACAGCAGTATAGTGGAAGCAGTGCATTTTAAGCCTGTCTACTCTGATAAAGGAACTCAAGTCAGTAAGATTTCTTCATAGTGAGATCAGATAGCTGTTTTCTAAAATTTTCTGTTGACAAGAATCTCTGTGTACCTCTTCCATTGTGGAGCCCACATGAATGCTCATCACATGTAAGGGTCGAATATGAACCCGTTGCAAGCTTTCCCTTAGAAGAAGGCTATGTAAGTAATTGATAACCCCAAAGGGAGTTCAAGCCTTATGCTAGGTATGTGGTGTTGCCTCTGAGTTATAAAACAGATAGTATCACACACAGAAAATAGCACGAGTACTTGGCAGAGGCCAAAGTTGGATCTCCAACCTTCCCCTGCCTTCAGACAGCCTTTCCAAGCCATGTACAGCTCGTCTATGAAGAGTAAAGATCCCCACACCAGTCTTGGATCTTCATCATTTAATGTTAGTGACTCTCAATACTGATTTTTGGGAAACTGACTGTTATGTTGAAACCAAATTTTTATTGCAGCTTACGGTTCTTTTCCTGCAAAATAGAAATAAAAAACAGCCTCCATTATCTGTATAATGATCTTTGTATAGGTGACTACTGTTATTAAAACCAGTAATTTTTCTCTGCCTATCAAAAAAACAGCCTTTTTAAAAAATGGTCAGCCTTTCCAAACCCTATTGTTGTCTTTGTCTCTCTAGTAAACCTGCTCTTAATGCTCCACACTGCCCTAGCGAGCTCATTAGAGGAGCGATGTGTCCTCGACCTATGGGATCTTTCCAGACCTGTGAGCACAGTTCTGATCACTGACCCTTCCAGTGTTCTAAGGAGTAAACATCTGTGCTCAAATTTCCTTAGAAATCGCTTCTGCACATTTTATTATTTATTTAGGATATACTTACTGAAATTACCTGTGGTTATTTTCTGCCAAGACTATTTAATTAACATTTACCATATCATGTCTCCAGTTGTCTACCCATAACTGTAAGGCCCCTCTTGCCTCTTTTGTTCTCCCAGCTTCCCATAATCAAACAACTGCTATCTCCAGTTATTTTTCTAGAGTCTTTGTAAAAGTGTCCATGGACTGACAGCATCATTGCCTGTTGATAGTATTGAGTATATTTTTTCTTTGTCACAGATCCATGTCTTCTTTGGTAAATGCAAATCTGTGTTCTAAACAGGAATGTATTTTGGTTTCTGATCTTTATCAGAATGTTTATAAGTGATTCTGCTATTAAACTGTGAAAGCATCAGTATGGAATGTTATATTTACCTAAAACTTCCCCAGTGCTTTTCACTTCTCAAGCTGTAATTGTAATCATGTAAATGTTTATATTCTGCAACTGACCGTTTTCTACCATGCACTCAGATTTGCCTTCCCGGTTTTCTACCAGCATGGTAGGGTGCAAATAAATACACTTCTGTAAGAGGCACTTCTGTCTTTTTAATAAGTTGTGAATGATGACTCAAGCAGTCATCTAGTTTATGCAGTGATATTTATTTAGATGGAGTCTTGCTCTGTCACCAGGCTGGAGTATAGTGTCGCGATCTCTGCTCACTGCAACATCGGCCTCCCAAGTTCAAACGATTCCCCCTGCCTTAGCCTCCCTAGTAGTTGGGATTACAGGCTCGTGCCACCATGCCCAGCTAACTTTTTGTATTTTAGTAGAGACGGGGTTTCACCATGTTGGCCAGGATGGTCTGAATCTCCTTTTCAAGAAAAGGAAAGGATTTTTTTTTTTTTTTTAATGCAGATAAACTTCAAGAGTTTTAATAACTGTGGCATTTTCCAATTTAGGTTTGTTTTTCTTTCTCCCAAAATATATGGTGTTCAGTTCCAGAATATCTTCACCCAACTAAGAAATACAAGGAGATATTGGGGGTGGGGGGCGCTATTTTGTTTTTTAATTACTAAACAGAAAAAACAACTCTTTCTTAAAATGTATCAAAGAATTTAATGACTCCAGTAGAAGAGGCAGTGCCTTCCATTTACTGGGTGTTCCGTAAATAGTTGGATTTAACTGGTTAGAATAAATTAAGTGACAAATATGATAAATGTGGCTCACAACAGAGCAGAGTCATGTAGTTACTAAGACATTTGCACAAATCCTGTCCACCAAAGGGACCCAGCTCATAAGCACTGAGAAATGACTCAGTGTTTCTCATGTAACTATTATTTCCATGTGTTTCATATTTAACTTTCGAGGAAGTTTTAATAGTACCAAATTGATAGAAATCTTTTGAAGCCCATGAGCAATAACAGGTGCTATTTGATTCTAATTCCTTGATTTTTATATAAGTAAGTAATTGTTATTCAAACTGATTAGCTTTTATCTCTAAATTTTATTTAATATTGCCTAATGCTGGTTGTTTCTTTTGGAGTCATATAAATCTGGCTGCCAAGAAAAATGACGGCTCTGCTCTGAAACCACAAAGTGACTTTATTAACATTTAGTGAATCCCAAGCAGAAAGGACAGTGAATTTGCTGAGGAAGCCATTCTCCACAATAATAAAGTATTCTTGTTTTTCTCATAGTAGACAAAAGTCATGGGTTTTTTTCTCCTTGGTAGGGAGCAAATTCAACCTTAAAAAGCAGTCATATCCAACAACAGAAAACCCAATTTTAGGAGAAATACCTAATGTAGATGATGGGAGATGGATGCAGCAAACCACCATGACATGTTTATACCTATGTAACAATCCTGCATGAGCTGCACATGTACCTCAGAACTTAAAGTATAATTTTTTTAAAAAATGGGCAAAGGATTTGAATACTCATTTCTCCAAAGAAGATAATATGTAAGTGACCAATAAGCACATGAAAAGATGATCAACAGCACTAGCTGCTGGGAAAGTAGATATCAAAACCGAAATATGAAGGTTTGGAAAAGAGGAAGGAATGAATAAACAAAATGGGATTTTTAGGACAGTGAGCCTTCTGTATGCTACTACAGGGGTGGACATATGTCATTACACATTTGCCAAAACCCATAGAATGTGCAACTCCAAAAATGAACCCTAATATAAACTATGGACTTTGGATAATGATACGTCATTGTTGGAAACAAATGTACGACTGTGTTGTGGGATACTGATGGTAGGGGAGATTGTGCATGGGGTTGCGGGGAGTGAGGAGTATATGGGAACTCTATGTACTTTCTGCTCAATTTTGCTGTGAACCTAAAACTGCTCTAGAAAATAAAGGCTATTAAGAAACGGAGAGCTATCACTTTACACCATATGACTTATCGATGAAGAGTCAAACTCTGTAAAATATTTAAAGAGACTTATTCTAAGCCAAATATGAGTGGCCATGGCCTGTGACACAGCCCTGGGGAGTTCTGAGAACATGTGCCCAAGATGGTAGGGGTACAGCTTGGTTTTATATATTTTAGAGAGCCGTGAGACATCAATCAAATTCATTTAAGAAATACATTGGTTTGGTTCAGAAAGATGGGACAACTCAAAGTTGGGGCCCCCCAGGCTATAGGTCAATTTAAACATTGGTTGACGGTTGAGCTTGTCTAAAGACTTGGGATCAATAGGAAGGAATTTCGGGTTAAAGATAAAAGGATTGTGTAGAACTAGATTTACTGTTAAGAGGAAATAGCAGACTTAAGAGAGGGCAGGTTGTAAAATGTTTCTTACCAGACTTAAACGGGTGCCTGGCTCTTAGTTGATTATCCACTGGATCTGCAAAGAAAGGGAAACAAAAGGGGAAGGGGATTCTCTACAGAATGTAGATTCCCACCCTCCCCCACCCCCCAAGAGACTTTGCAAGGCAATTTCAAGCCATGGCAAGAAAATATATTTTGGAGCTAAATATTTTTTCCTTGTCTCATAATGTTATGCCAGGGTAAGATTGTAAAGCAAGTTACAATATATAGATAGGGTCAAATAAAACGCATCTGATAAGAATCCATGGTTTGTAGGACACGACTCCCCAGACTCCCTAGATAGGAATTGGAGCAAGATAAAAAATCAGAGCTTAGTCCTTGGACTATAATAAAAAGATAGACAATAACAAGTTTTGCTAAGGATATGGAAAATTGGAACCCCCAAACATTGCTGGTGGGAATGTAAAATGTTGCAGCTGCTTTGGAAAACTATGTATCCATGTCAGATAGTTATAGCAGCTATGCTACTCCTATGTACTTAATAGAAAATAAAACATATATTCATACAAAACCTCATATGAACAGTCTGGCAGGTCCTTGGAGTGTTAAATGGACTTAACACATGAGCCAACATGTCTGCTCCTAGGTATGCACCTTATTCTGCTAGAGCTGCCTAACAAAATACCATAGACTGAGTAAACTAAACAATAGAAAGTTATTTCTTATAGTTTTGGAGGCTGGCAGTTGAAGATTACAGTGCTGACAGGTCTGTTTTCTTCTAAGATCTCTCTCCTTTCTTGCAGATGGCTGTTTTCTGTGTCCTCACATGGTCTCTCCCTGTGCACACAGGTCCCTGATGGCTTTTTCTAAGGACACTATTCATATAGGATTACAGCCCCCATCCTAGCAGCTTTCCTTTAATATAACCACCTCTGTACAGACCTTATCTTTAAATACAATTACATCCTGGGATACTAGGGGTTGGGACTTCAAATTGTGAATTTGATGGAGCCACAATTCAGCCCATAATAATGATGGAGAGAAATGAAAACATACGTTCATACAAAAACTTGTATGTGAATATTTATAGCAGTATTATTTATAGTAGGCAAATGTGGAAACAACCCAAATGCCCATCAAATAATAAATGGATAAACCAAATTGGTATATACTTCCAATGGAATATGACTTGGACAAAAAAGAAATGAAGTACTGAAACATGATACAAAATGGATGAACCTTAAAAACACTCTAAGTGAAAGAAACCAGCCCAAAAATAATGTATACCTCTATTTATATGAAATGTCTAGAATAGGCAAATCTTTATTTTTTTTAGAGATGGGTTCTCACTCTGTCATCCAGAAGGGAATGCAGTAGCACTATCATAGTTTACTGAAGCCTCAAACTACTGGATTTAAGCGATCCTTTCACTTTGGCATCCTCAAGTAGCTGGGACTACAGGTGTACACCAGTGTAGCAGGACCAGCCACGAGAAACAGAGCTCTCGAACAACGAATGGGGAAAGGAGGGTCTTATTACCGACGGGAGCCGGGCGATGAGTTGTCCAAACCCAGCTCGTCTAACAAAGGAAGGTTCTGCCTTTGTATAGACTTACACTCTAGATATTACATGTGAAACAATCTTAGGTTTACAGCCTTAGAAATCACCAGTGAAAGGGTTTTGGATTTACAGGTTTAGGAATCACATGTGAATTTCTGGGTTTACAGATTTAGAAATCACGTATGAAAGGGTTTCGGGATTACAGTTTTAGAAGTCACATATGAAAGGGTTTCGGGTTTACAGTTTTAGAAGTCACATATGAAAAGGTTTCGGGTTTACAGTTAGAAATCACATATGAAAGGGCTCTGGTCTCCGGATGGAGGAGTGGGGTGGGGGTTTGATCTTGTTTTAAGTAAAAG